CCCAACACCTCCACTGAGCCTCAGCTGGTCCAGGGTGCCCGGGTCCCCAGGGACTCGAGGGGGCTCCCCTAAACCCAACACAAGGCAGAGCAGGAGGGGACCCGGGCCCACCGTGTCCCATTCCCCGCCCTGACAGTGAGAAGGCCCCGGGTCTTCCACCTGCCTGCAGGGGCTGCCTGCAGGGGCTGCCCGAGGCCGGCGAGCCCTTGAAAACTGTCACCCCAGCAGGCTCGGTCCGGGAAGTTCTGCAGGAGGGAAACCTCACTGCCGGACCCAGGTCCCCAAGCTGCTCTGGCCAGAATCCCCGACAACATCCAGGAGCTGTGGGGTGAAGCGACCACTCTCCCATGTCCACCAGGGGTCCCCGCTCCCCATCCTCCTCATCGTGCTGCCCGCCCTACAAGAATCAGAGCCCAGGCCTGGCTGTCTCTGTCCTCCATCTGCTCGCTCTCCTGGGGAGCCACCTCCGGCCCCCATCCCAGCCATGTCCCCCATGCCGCACCAGCCTCTGGCCCAGCTCTGCCTGCACTCCGCAGGCCGCACGCACACAACACCCGTGCTGGTCTCCAAACCGGTGCCGCTCTCCTTCCCGCATAACCAGCCCAGACAGCACCCGCAGCATGGGGCAGGAAGTCCAGACTCTCACACACGGGATGTGACCTGCGCTGCCCTCGCTCCGTGTGGCCCTGCCGGACCCTCTGCCAGAGCCCCCACTCACTCAGGGCAGCCCTGTCTGCCCATCACTCCACGCTGCGGCCAACTTGGCTGTTCCAGGGGCTGGTTCAGGGCAGTGAGGAAGGCACCATGCAGCCCCAGCCTGGCCAGAGGAGGGCTCCCAAGCAGCCAGGGCCCAACCAGCATGAGGCAGGATGACTGCAGACTGACTCCCCGCCACCCCTCTGCACTCAGGTGACATCCCAGGTCGTGCTGCAGCCTCAGAGCACCCTCTGGCCTGGGGGCAGGGTACCCCTCCTCTAGAAGATGTCCCACCACTCACTGCTGGAGTGCGGGAGGAACGGCCCCCACGCAAGGGCACGGGCCAGGCCCAGCTGGCTGCGAGCAGGCCCAGGACGGCAGGGCCCTGCTTTCCCAGGCACAACAGCCCAGGGACGCAGGCTCGCCATGGAAACCTCCAGGCCAGGTGAGGGAGGCCCGCTGGCCTTGGATAGAAAGGTGTCCCTGCCAGGACCTGGTCAGGATCTGCGCCAGGCGAAGGGCTGGGTCCTGCAGGGGTGGGCTGGCCGGGCCCCTAGGCCCCATCGCCCACTACAGCAGGTGTCCCCAGGGGCAGCCCCGCATCCCCAGCTCCCCTGGGACTTAAAGCCGCCCGGGCGAGACACTCGGACGGAAGGGGGGGCCGGGGGAGAGGCCCCGCCCAC